ACCATCAGAGATTGGAGCTGATGTTTTGGGATTGAGCTGTGATTCCAGCCAGTGCCTGTTGACATAGAATAAGTCTGCTTCCAAATTCTGGATGTCATTTCAGTGTTTTTCTTAGCTGTCGCTATATGTATCAACTTATCCTTGTCATATTATTTTCCTATTGTTGGTTCTCTTTTCCTTAATTACTTGTCTTGCCTAATGAATTTATTATACTGGGATTCATGGAACTGTTTTCTTTTTCCAGAATTCCCTTCAGAACTTTTTGGACTGGTGGTTTGGTAGTCATGAAGTTTTAGGTGTTCTTTATCATAGAAGTATGTTACTTCTCCATTAATTTTAAAAGATAAAATTTGTGGGGCACATAGATCTGGGTTGGAAATTTTTTTAAGGCTAAAAATAATTCATTCCAAGCTCTCCTTGACTTAAGAGTTGGTATTGAGACATCTGCAGAGATTCTGATGGCTTTCTTTATAGGTGAATTGTTTCTTTGTTCTAACAGCTTTTAAGAGTATCTTTGTGTTGAATTTCTGGAATCTTGACTGCTATGTGCCTTGAGTATTTTTCTGATTATACATTATTGGAGTTTGGTTATAGATTATTTAGCTGTATGTCAGATTCTTCTTCCATACTTGGGAAATTTTCTGCCTTTACTTTTGTTAATAGGTTTTGTGTCCTTTGTGCTGTTTTATGATTTTTCATTGATTCTCATCAATCTTATTCTTCTTTACATATCTAGTAGCTGTTACATTTTTTTTTTGGTAGTTCCTTGCTATTTTTAAGAAATCTTTCATTTGATGCTCGCTAACTGCAAACTGACCTTCCAGATCTGGAATCTTTTTCTCACCTTGGTTTATTCTGCTCCATATACTTTCAGCAGCATTTAGAATCTCATTGATATCAGTTTAAATCTGTTTCATGCAATCCAGTTCTTCTTTCTGTTGGTCATTTATGGTTTCCATCACTTTCCTAAGATCCTCTATTTTCTTTAAATCTAGATCTACTCTAGATCCATTAACCATGTCCTTTTTTATAGTTACCATCTCTTCAGTTACTTATGAAATTATTTTGATTTGTTTTTTTCTTTTTTTATGTATTTGGTACAGAGTCTCACTACACAGCTTGGACTCGTAGTGATCCTCTGGTTTTCAGCCTTCCCAGCACTGGGATTATAGGCATGTGCCACTATGCCTGGTCTTGGTGGCAGCTCAGAGTGCCTGACACTGAGCAGGGCTGACACGGCATGTGTGCCAGGGCTTGAACCCCAGACCCTGCGCTTGCCTAAGCAGGCACTTAGTCTGCTCAGCTATCGTGCCAGCCCTCTGATTTGTTTTTTCTAGAGACTCATTCATCTGCTTTTCTACTGCTGCTGCTACCCTTTCAGAAAGTTCCGCTAGGTGGTATTTGATTTTGTCTACCTCATGCTTCCTGGGTTTGCTGTGGACAAGCTGGAGGTTGAGTTGCATCTTTCTTCCATGTCTTCCTTCACATTTCCTATTTTTCAAATTTGTTTTCTGTGTTGATGTTTGCAAGTTGCTTATGATAGATAGCTTTATTCATAGTTCTGAGACTTCCTTAGGAAGTGACTACATTTCAGAGATGTCTTCTAGGTGGAGCTGGCTTTTGGCTTTGGAGTTTGTCCCCAGATCCTGCTTCTTCAGTTTATTCAGGATGAAAGCTTGATGCCTGTTTGGCCTAGCTCCTGGAGTATGGTATTGCTTATGACACCCCCACCTCGGTATTGCATGCAATTGCGTCATCTTGGCGAAAGTAGTACAGTGAGCGCTAACAGAAGCATCAAAACACTCTAGAAAATGACAAGCTGTGATAACTATTTGCCCCCTTAGGTGGGCTACAGTTACACAATTTAGTTATATAACAAGATCTAAAAGATGTCAGAAAATTATATGCAGTAGATATCCCCTGAATAGAGCAACTTTATCCTCAAAAGAGAAAATTTTAAAGGGATAAAAAGGAAAAACAGAGAAATTAAAGAAGAGAAAGAGATTCGAAGCAGGGCTGAAGGACAAGGGAAGATTATCCAAACCTTAGGAAACTGGTGAAGAAGACAGGAGCAAAGAAAGAAGGAAAGAAGAAAAGCAGTAACAAGACAAAACCTCTCAAATCAATGTTCACACTTGTGCAAAAACAAAAACAATCAGGAAAAAAGAAAAAGAAGGCAAAATGCGGGGGGGGGGGGATTCTCTGATTTCAAGAATGTGGTTATCTTCTGGGGCCTACAGTTTCAGAGTAGTGTCCAATTCAGCACATGTCTCCAGTGTCACTGGTAGGCAGAGCCAAGATCTGTGCCAGAGGACCCCAGCAAGCCTGCACTAGGAATAAGGCATGATGCCAGTTGGGTTGCATTCACCTTCACTGAAGTCGTGGCCTCTTGTTGTGGAGTTGGGGTCTGAGGGTGATTTTCAGCCTGCAACACTCTGAGTTTCTCTTGCTGGCCTAACCTCAGTTCCCTGGCCCTAGATGTTTGCCAAGCTTGTGCCTTCCCTAGTTACTGGGATCCCAACCTATGGCTGCTCTGAGCCCAGGGTTCACTTGGCCCCTTTATAAATGCCATCTGGTAAGCTCCTCCCTCAGGGTATACTTGGAATGGAGTCACTTGTCAGCCATTGCGGCGCACAGCACCCACTTCTCTGTTCCCTGGTGAACAGAGGTTGGTGGAGTCCCTCACGCGCACTGTGCGCCTCTGGATCACACCCTTCTCCCTCCTGCTGCAAGCCAGGAGTCAGGGAGAAAAGTACTGCTTGCCACCACCTTTTTCTGGGTTGAGACCTCTTCACTTTCCTTGTGGCTCCAATTCTCCCTTCAGATCCTTGCTGGGTCCCAGAGATCTGCCTCCTTCCTTCTTTTGTTGTTATATTCCAGTGTCTGGATTCTGAATCTCAGAGAGGCTGATTGCTGCTGTTCACTGCTCTGCCATCTTCCGGGAAGTCACAAGAATTATATCCTGCACAGCACCGCTCCTGGATCTCATATCTCAGTCTCTCTTTATGAACTTTTATTTTTCTTAGACTTTTTCCTTAGCTAAAAGTTAATGAACTTTCTTGTGTGTGTGTGTGTGTGTGTTTTTTATTATTGAAGAGCCAGAATTTTTCTTTCTCTATTATTTTATAAAAACAAAATTTTGCCAACACTTCTGGGTTGTTTTTTTTTTCCTGTGTATATCTTTTTTTAAAAATTTTATGGAATAGGGCTGGAGAGATGGCTCAGTGGTCTAAAGCACCTACTGAAACAAGCTTGGCAAAGCACAGGGACCACGGTTCGATCCCCAGCACCACATGCCAGCCAGCCCCGCCCCCTGGTGGGCTGAGCTGGCCACACACACAATAAATAAATGTAATAAATAAAAATAAATATTTAAAAAAAAATTTTATGGAATAAAAGTAAATTTTCATAACAAAATAATAGAACAATACTAGTTAATACATTACATGTTGCCATTATAAAGTAGTTGCTCCGAGTATGAGATATGGGCATAATTCTCTAATTGATATTAGCACAAACCTTCCTTTTTAATGACCTAAGAGACATGAATAGTATAACTGACTTTTTCATTTTCCCCTACTATCCTTTCCCCCTTCACCTGTCCTAGTTCCTTTTATACTTTTGAAC